ATGGTTAATCCTCTGTGTTTACCATTAGCTATTTGCTCTTGAGAAGAATCAGGTTTTTCAAGACCCTCTATAATTAATAGTAGGGCAGAAGAGTATTTGGGGAGAAGGCTAAGAAAGACGGTCAGAAAATGTAAATTATATGCAGCAAAAACTGCTTGGAAGGTACTAGGAAATATAGGCTTATAGTGAAAAGGTCCAACATAAGCCTACATCTTCTCACAGCTTCAAAAGCTTAATTACACAATGTACTTTGTATCTGAGAGAAATCGAACAGCGTTATTTGAGTAAACACACATGGCGGGTTGCGTCCCTTTAAAGAAGAGTGATTACGTTAACATGAAAAAAGTAAAATAGATTTGCAAAACGTGAATTGGCGTTAATGCTGAAAAGTGCAGAGCAGTCAATGCGTCGTGACAGAGACGGTAAGTAAGAAGGTGAAGAAGATTGATAGAATGAGTATAAGAAGATGTGAAATGCTAGAGCGGTAAGTTAGCTAGAATCGCTTTGTCATATTTAAATTTACAGTAGTTACGAGGTGAAAAATACAATCAGCGTGTACAAAAAAGCCGAAAGTTGTGTAGTCTAACACCATTTTATGATGTATTTCTAAAATTGTTGAAAAATAAAGTAGGTGCAGTAGCAACTCTTCTGCAGGGAGAAGATTCGCCTTCAAAGGACTTCTTCTAGCTTATGCACTTCAGCTCGCTTGAAAAGTGGATATGCCTACAGCTCTAGTTGAGTTGCTTTGGAGCATTGCAGATAGGTAATTCACAAATCTCGCAACCTCTCGCCAAAAGCCAATCTGGCGGTGCTTGACTGAGTGTGTGCACGTTGAATATTCGATTCTGATGATGAGATGCTTTCGTGGCTCCTCAGCTATCCCTCATAAGCAAACATTTTTCAAATATAGGTTATGCTCCAGTCAGCGTTTTCTGATCGGTTATAAATCTTGGAAATTCCTGATACAGAAGGTGCAACTGCACCATATAAAGTTCAAAAAAACTGATATGCAACATTTTGTTGAAATTATTACCAACATATGAACATCCATTCTTTTTCTACTGGCACTTTTCAAAAATTTTGTCCGCCTAAGTGTAACATCTTGAGAACTTACCGCCTGAAACTTATCCTTACAAGGAGAGGTTTTGACGCGGTGAGTTTTTAAGATGTCATACTGTGGAATAAAGATAGCGCG